TGTGTGTGTGTGTGTGTGTGTGTGTGTGTGTGTGTGTGTGTGTGTGTTTATGTGTGTCCGTCCATAACAGACAGGGGGAGAGAGAGCAAGAGAGGGAATTTGTGCCAGGTCATGCAGAGAGCTTCATCTGTTACTGTAGAGCACAGCACATTTTGATCACCTCACATTCTCATAACACCAGAATAATCATTCCATCAGGCTGCAGCTAATGATGATTCGTCTGTCAAATGTCAGAAAATTGTAAAAATATAGCCTGTGATGACATCTTCATGATGCTTGTTTTGTCCAACCAACAGTCGAAAATCCCCAAATATAAAATGAACTATCATGTGGATCGGAGTGCTTACAGCGCATGCCATACAACATACAAGAAGCTGTGTCTAAGCTGCTAAATATTCACTGTGGCTCACTACTTCTGTTTTCCTAATAAACTGTGTCATTGCACATGTGTAATTGGTGGCCAGCTAATCATTCCCTCAGTTGGTATACACATTTTTTGTGAAGCATTTAAAAAGGTGAAGCAAATATTAATGCAGCCTGGTGGTCACAGCATGCTCAGTCTTTCCACCACCAACTGTAGACGTGCAGTCCTCATTAGAACAACCTCTGGTGGCGGATCATAAGACTGAGCGCACACACACACACACACACACATATGCACTCCCTGGCCTTCCACATCAGTTCCTCCCAGTCAGAGGGAGCTCATTACCGCCAGAATCTGGCCCTCACACTGAGCCAACCTGCTTTGCTATGCATTGTTTTTCCACTGGCGCAAAATGTCAGCTCGCTAAAAGCATCTGTGCTCACCGTCCTCCTGCTGAGAAGGAGAGGGAAGAAAGAGAAAGATTTGCGGAAGAAATGTGGTGAAAAGAAAGCAAATGTAGTAACACCGAAAGGCCAGAGAAGAAAGGAAGAAGGGGTAGATGGCAAGGGCGCTAAAAAGAGAGAGGGCGAGCCGGTTGTCAGACGAAGGGAGGAGGCGTCACAGCTTGACTGAGAATCCTGTTTGTTTTTTTCTATTCCAGTTTATTTGAAAGAAATGTGCAATCAGATGATATTTTATGGCAGTATGTTTTTCTAGGGCAAGACTAATTTGACCAATTCTAAATGCCAAATATGTTCTTCTGTATATCAAAGTAAGTTACTACTCTCAGGTTGCCAGTTTTCTTCATATTGACATAACACATTTTGATAATGATTTAAGGAAAAAAATATTTTTATTTATTCTTTTATTTATTGAAACGGGAAGGAGAACTTTTTTGATTAGTGCTCCTCTTGTGTTACGCACCTATAGTTTGTGCCAGTACAGGTGTTTGAACTGTAAATACTGAGTATGCTAAATGCATTTTATCTGCATTGAAAATGTTTTGAGAGACTTTTTTGTGGGACTCAAATTTTTGCATCCGTTTTTTAGTAGAAGGTGCAACATGTAAATCCAATGGATTACCTTACTGAATACAAACATTGCCTTGTAACTTGTATTCAGTCACTGACTACGTTTCAAAGTAATCTGACCCAACCCTGTTCACCACCCACAGTACCATTTCCATCTTTCTCAGAGTACATTAGAGTGAACCACCATGTTATTCACTCTGTTATCGGTGACTTATGATTAGGTATTCATTATTTCTGTTTGCATCTATAAGTATGCCCTCGGCAGAGTTAAACACACAGAGCCCCACATGAGTGTTGTTTTGATGTGTGGGATGAGAGGAGGAAAACGAGGATGAGACGAGCCGCTCCAGTGCTCGATGTACACTACAACACACCCTCACAGCGAGAGTGACACGCATAGCAGCAATTTTCCTGCTCCGTGCAGGAATAAATTACATACTGTCGAAGTTTGGCATTAGAGACGGCATACAGCTATATTT